AGCTTATAAATTGTGGCAGTGGTCACACCCCAGAATACGCAATAAGACCTTTGTGCCACTGTACACAAAATGCCAGGGTGCCAGGTGTGGAACCACACATGTTGTAGAGATAAACAAGCAACGGAAATTTTTCTTAAAAGCTTATTATTGGGAAATCACAGTGCTAAATTCTAGTTTCTTGGTGGAGAGGTTATGTGGGTCAGCTTATCCGCTGCCTCATAAATTTTTTTTCTGGCCAGTGGAGTCCACTGAGATGGGGCAGCTGATCCGCAGGAGCCACTCTTTGAGAGCACAAGGAATGGAACCCAGCTATCTAGATTTGAAACCTGCTCCCCTGTTTAGCTGCTGTATACCTTCGGGCTACTAATGTAACCTCTCTATGGTAAAGAGTCTTCCTCTTGGAAATAGAGTATTTTTCTAGTAGGGTTATTCTGAGGGTTAAACACTGAGAACACTAATGACACTTGCTTTTAGTATAAAACTTTTAGGACAGATCTTGGCACTTAGAAACTGTATTGTTACATCATTGTTATTTGTCATAATACTTTTGGAAGAAGCCTTACGGAAAGGGGAATCCTTGACTTTGGAAAGATAGAGAACAGCATTCAAATCCTATACTCCAACTTTTGGTTCAGCAACAGTAAAAAGAAAGCCAAAGACAGAGGTCGTGGCTCAGGAGTAGGGCATTTGCCTGGGTTCAATCCCAGAACTGGAAAATAGAAAAGCAAAAAGTTCAAAATTCTTTCCCTACAAGGTTGGAGTAAGAAATAAAAAATATGCCTAGTTCTATGCCGGGCGTATAGCAGTTATTCAAGAAATATTACTTCCTTTCCCCTCTCACTCTGTATCAGTGTGTTAATTCAGTGTGCCAAAGCACTGTGCTAATGGTCAGAGACATAAATATAAATGAGATATAACCTCTGTCCTCAAAGAGTTCATAATCCATGAGAAAGGCCTGAGTGCAAATAATGACAACATTTTATGACAAAAGCCTGTCATGGAGGTATCAATACAAAGTGTCTTGGGATCATTGGGAAAGAAGGACTAAAGTTCATCTGGAAGAATTGAGAAAATCATTAAATGGGAGGCAGTGCTTAAGCTGGGATTGGAGGAAAGAGCAGAACTTCACCAGGGTAGGCACAGCATTGGTGCAGGGCAGGCGGGGGGATTTCAGGTACACTGGGAACGTGCTGTGCACGTGTGCTATGAAGAGAACCACCAGTATCTGCTTGGGACAATTACCACCCTGTCTCTGTCTCTGATTTCTGTGCCAACGCCCTTTGGATCTAAGCAGGACATCCCTGTCCCTAAGCAAGCTGCCCATCTGGAGAATGGACAAGAAAATGCACAGCAGAGAAGACAGTCAATCTAAAGTAGCAGGCATACATTTCAAGAGGGAAACTACCAAGAAAGAAAAATCCCACAACAGCCAAACAAATCAGAATCATGAAATGTTTTAAAGGCTTTTTATAAAATGGAGCTTTATGACACTCCAGGGTGGGGACGCTGGGGGTTGGTACGTGCTTGTCCTAGCTGCTTCATTACAATGGCACTGAGGCCACAAGTTCACCGCACCTTAGTTTTGGGTCACTCTGGTACCTCCAGGACGGAGCCCTGGGACCAAGCCCAGAACACCGAACTACGACTCTTTGCCAGAGGCCCCAGTACCATTGGCAGCCACAGAACCCTCCTGCCAAAGCCAACAGCAGACACTTCTGACAGACCAAATCCAAATGAGAATCTCAGCAACAACCAGCTGTGAGAGTTTCTTCCCCAGATGAATGAGAAGGGCCTGTAGGTGTGTGGAGTTATGTGTCTGTGTGTAGTATATATACATGTTTATGTATGTGTGTTGCATGTAAGGCACATATGCTTGTATATATATCACCTACATGTACCATGTAATGTGTACATGTGTGAAATATGCGTGTGTGTCCTGTGTGCATGTGTTGTATGGTACATGTGTCTGTGGGTTCTTTGTGTATGTGCATTGTGCATATATGTACTGCACGATGAGATCAGTTGTGGGTTTGTGTTATGTGGTGTGTGTTGGCGTTTATGTGTGCCAGGTACATTTGTGTGTGTGTGTATGTGCTGTATGCACGTGGTGTGCATGTATGTGTGTGTGTGTGGCTGGTGTGTATGAGTAGGAGACAAGGGCCCCAGAGCCCAGTGGCAGGGAGTGGCTAGCCCAAGGGGTGCTCTGCAGAACTGCAGGGAGGGAAAGGCCACCCACCATCACTCTCCTCCTCCTTGGACGCCTGCTGTTCATTGGACAGATTTGTCTGAATTGTCCCTAATCCACTGTCACAATGGGGGTGAATTCCTATCCACCCCCAAATCTTTCCTTTCTTCCCCATGTCTCTTGTCCCCAAAGGACATCTTTTGCTCTTTGTTCCACTGAGGCTCCCTCCCACCCTCAGGATCCCTTCCCTGTATCCCACTCATCAAATATGCTCTCTGCAAAATGTCTAGAAAACCCTTCTTATCCCATGGAGTAATAGGGTTCAAAGTGTCACCTGTCCCAGTGAAACCCAGTAAGTCAATGACTTGGGAAATATGGGTGAGTCCTACTGCACCTTACACCACCAGGTAACCATGGGAAAAATATCTTATGGGTCCTGACCAGGGGACAAAAATATAAGAGCTGTGGAGCAGTAGAAAGCAGCACTTTGGAGACCTGGGTGCTGATCCAGCTCCACTGCTTGCAGGTCCCATGACCTTGGGCCAGTACTCGCCTCTCTAATCTCAGCTATGAAATGGAGCGTGCATGCCTATCCAGTGTCCGAACAAGTGCTCAAACAAGTGCAGGTGGGATGTTAAAAAGGCCAAATTTAAGGTCTCAGAGTTTCCAGAGGTTAGCAGAAGAGCCTGGGCCCATCAGGAAGGGAGGATGACATCATCAGCCAGCCTCTAGAATGGGAGCAATGGAGTCTCCAGTCCAGGGACTCACTCCCTCTCCTCTCTCTGGGAGGTGGGGCAGGGCTGAGGCTGAGCAGCTGTTGCCTTCAAGGAAGGGTTGGGATGCACAAGCCCAACCTGCTGGAGGCCCAGTAACTGTTCGACCTCAACACGGCCTCCTTTACATAACACACACACCCCCCACACCAACCACACACCACATCTGGAAACCACACCTATTCGCGCCTACCACCACCCGCTTACCGCCAACTTCCCACCAGAGGCACTGTCCTGCGCATACCACACAGGCCCTAGCAGCCACAGTACATCACCGCAGACACAAGTTCCACATCCAGGAGATAGAAATACCCACTCTCACACGTGGTGCACACCACCCACACACTCTGCATGACACCACGCTCAGACTTGCTCTGATGCACAGCCTCTGTCCCTCCAGCCCACCTTGCACACTCGGGTGTAGGCTCACACTCTATCTAGACACGCTTGCACATGACACAGTGTTTCCACCATTCTTCCTCTCTTCCGAACACCCAGGCATATCTGTGCAGCGCACCGCCTCCCCCCCCCCCACTCCCCGCCCAACCCGGCCAACTCCAGCAAGCGGCTCCCGGCTCGGTGTGCAGCGGCCACAGTGGCCAGGAATTAAAATGCAGCGAGGAGGAGCCGGGCCGCGTCAGCACCGCGTCTCCAGGAGCTCACAGCGCTCACCGCCGCCGCCCCTCCCGCCCCGAGCCACGGGGCCAGCGAGCAGAGGAGGAGCAGGTGCCGGGAGCCCAGCCGCGCCAGCGTCGCGCGGCCGCTGACCAAGTTCGCCCAGGGCCCGAGGAGGGCCGGGCATACAGAGAGGAGCGCAGCTGGCCTCGCTGCCACTGCCACCGCCGCCTCCACCACCACCGCCACCGTCACCACGGGCTTGGAGTCTCGGCGGAGCAGGGCGCACGGAGCAGCGAGTCCGGGTCACCGTGGGAGGTGTTGCCCGGGCTCCTCAGTTCCAGCACCCGGTGCCACCGGGGCAGGGAGGAGAAGAGGCAGAGGACAACGAAGCCCCGCTTTTCTGGAGAAGTGAGGCACCCCTGTGAACAGAGCCAAAGGGGAAAGAGACGCTTCTCCCTGGCCAGCAGCGCCGGGCAGCGAGCAGCTTCCCGCAGGACGCCCTAAGAAGCCCCCAGCCCCAGGCGAGAGCCGGCACTCGCAGGGCTCGGACGCAGGACTTGGGGACTCCCTCGCGGGTCTCTGCCGAGCGGAGCCCGGACAGCAGTGAGAAGAAACCGGCCCAGAGGGACGGGAAAGAGGAAGCAGCCGCTGCGCGACCACTCACCCCAGTACACACCCACCCCGCCCGCCAAGCCAGGAGCCGCCGTGCGCCTCTGGGGGCGCTAGTTCCTTGGCGCCTTCTCTCCGGTGTCCCAGAACTGCTGGGCTACGGGCCAGGCTGGCGGGGTCCTTAGGGATGTCCAAATCAGGCATGGTGGACAAGTGGCCCCTCTCCCAAGCCGAGCGTAAAAGCTGGGGTTAGACGGAGCAAGGGGGACTCAACGCAGGGTCCCCCAAGGTCCGGGACGAGGAGAGGCGGGCGCAGCGCCCAGGGACTGGAGAGGCGGCTCAGTGTGGGGAGGGGGACCCTCGGGAGGTAGAGCCCGCGGTCGGGCATCCCCCAGGAAGACTCGGAGTCCGGAGAGCCTGGGAGGGGCTGGGGAGAGGCCAGTGCCAGCAGCGGCAGGCCGAGGCTGCGCTCGGTCCCGGGCGGGCGCCCGCGGAGGCGGCGGCGGAGGC